ATATAATTACTGTGTGTTTTATCATGTCCCTTCTCCTTCCCCTTTTTTGTTGAAATTTGGGTAAACAACCTTTTGATTGAAACTTTAAGAACGGCCATACTGGGTGGTCAGACCAAAGGTCCATCTAGCTCAGTATCCTGTCTTCTGATAGTGGCCAATGCCAGATGCCTCTGAGGGAGTGAACAGAACAGGTAACCATGTCATCCATTTCCATGATCCCTCTCATGTCATCCATTTCCAGCTTCTGACAAACAGAGGATAGGGACACCATTCCTACCCATTTTGGCTAATAAGTATTGATAGACCAATCCTCCATGAATTTATCCAGTTTTTTTAAACCCTATTAAAGTCCTGACCTTCACAACATCATCTAGCATGGAGTTCCACAGGTTAACTGAAAACATTTTGACCAGCTCAACTGGTAATCTGGGATACTTTAGGTTTGGGGTTTTACTCCAGACTGATAAATCTTCGTTTCCTATTCTCACCTTCCCTATCCTTCTCCCGTCCACTAAAATGCTAATATTAAGGTAGATGGAGCACTGTAAGACCCTCCCCCCGCATTCGTTTTCTGCTCTTGTTCTTCAACTCCAATTTGGAGGGAACAGTGCGTCATTCTGTTACATTCTTTCCAATCATTGGCAACTGACAAAGAGCTACAAACAGCTTGTGGTATTCTACATCGTTAGCACAAATTCCGTCTTATCTGTGGTGTGATTCATAGGTAATGCCTCAAACTGTAACAGTATAATGCACATTATTTGGCTCGGGGATCCTGATGATGCATGAGCAGGAAAGACCCCAGTGTGAATTTCACTGTTAACTAGGGTCAGCTTGGAGATCTAGCAGTCGAGTAGATCTCATCAGGGCATCGGACTAGATGACCCAGTGAGGTCCCTCCCTCCAAATCCTACATTTTTATGATTCTCTGATTGCATGGAGACACAGTTTAAAAAAAAAAGCCATGTGGGCCAGCTACAACTCTCATTAATGTCTATGTAAAGACTGAGGCCTTGCCTACACAAAGGAAGATCACCACGGCCACAATCAAACCTCTGGAGTTCGATTTAGTGAGTCTTAACTAGACTTGCTAAATCTAATTCAGAGGGCACCCCTACCAGTGTCCAGTACTCCTACTTTTATGAGGAATAGGGAACTGGATGGGAGCATTTGCTTCCCATCAGCCTCCCGCTATGGGGACACCACCAAACTCAGTTTACGGTAAACTGACTCTAGCTACATATTGTACATAGCTGAAGTTGAGTACCTTAAGCCAAGCTGCTGGGTCTAGTGCCTTACGTTACTTTACTGTAATCCTGGCATTGACAAGCTTGTGTGTTGCAGAGGGGAAAGCTTACTAGTCCCCAGGTTAAACTGACTGAAATGGCTCACGAATGGGGGTGGTAACACAGCCCAGTGAACAGCTTCTGAGTAGGTCTCCATTTGCTTGGAATTAACACAAGCTGAGCCTCTCCTCAGGGCTCCACGCAGGAAACTGGAAGTATAATGGCTCTTTGCTGGGTTTCTTAGCTGGGGAAGTGCTTGGGGACTTGAATGCCTTCATAGTCCCTTCTCTATTCCAGACTGCTGAGCATGGCTGGATTAAGTGCTTCTGGGTTTCTCCCTTTTCAACCCCAAACACTTCATTTTAAATAGTCACAATCTGTTCGTTTTCAGCCAAGATGCTGCAATGTAGTGTCCTGGTATCGGGAGCAAACAGATTATAGGGGCAAGGAGCAATGATTTGATCTGGGAGTCTGAAGTGCTGCCAAGCCACTGACATTTTCTAGAATTCCTTCTGGATGCGATGTAAATGAAAGCAGAGAGAACCAAGTGTCACATGGCTGCTATAAGCTTTTCCTTCTTTTAAGTATTGAGGGTTCCCTGCAGTGTGAAACGGGGTCAGTCATGGCCAGCATGCTTTTCCTCTTCCACTGCATGAAAAAAGTGGCAAATCTTTCCCAAACCAACCCTTTTTTCTCAGTCTCTCACCCACTACAAATTGAGACTCTCGAGAAGCTGCCAAATAAAAGCTCTCCATGTGGAGTAGAACTTGATGCCAATATA